GTCCCCTCAAGATTACGCTATTTTGTCCATCACTAAGCCAAAAATGGCCCAAATGAGGAATGTAATACCTCGTAGGGCTCGTAATTTGATTGCAATGATTCCCAATTGGTTTGCATTCAAATCTGGGAAACTTCATTTTTGGGCATTTTTTGAAAATTTTGATGATGGTACCCCTTATAAAAAATGCGATATTGAGGCCAAAATTGATTTTCCCAAAATCGAAAAACGAGTGATAGGGGTGGTTAGTATTGGTCGTTAGCAGAATAAAACAGTCGTTCTTTTGGCTGTGGGCCTTGTTTTACCCAAGTTATAGGTAAAAAACTGAGGAAAGTAGTGTCATTATCTTTCAAAACTCAAAATCCTGATTGTTGTCCAAAAATAATCGGAATTATTCTCATAACAAGCCAATGATTGTCGGAATAGGTAATAAAGAAATACGGAGAGTTCACCAGGTCCTTTTGGTATACAGCCACTATTAGCAAGATTCTTAGTTTGGTCTGGTAACGGTTTGGTTTCTGTTGGCCATTTGGTGGACCTACAGAATGGCCCGACCACATGCCAGAGCACCACAATCAGGCAAGTTTCGCATAGCCAGCAAACCGAGGCCCAGCCACCGCCGAAAACCACCCGAAAAGCTCCGCCTGAAACCCACTTACCAGGGCAGGGCAGGGCAGGGACAGGGACAGGGGCAGGGGCTCAGCATCCCCAAACGGGCGGCACATACATCACCTTTAATGGGCATTATGTGTAAGCAAGCATTTAACTCTAAATGTCCGGCAACATTACAAACAATTGAATTAGGGACCCGCAACCCACTGCCCACCCACCACTGGGCCACCTACCGCTGGACCCGTCCAGGTCCCAAATCCCCGCTCTTGGTGGTGCAATTTTGCAGGCATTTAAGCGAGCGGCTTAGCTGGCAAAACGGGCCCATTTGTTGTCTCTTTTATCTGGGGGCGGAGAGTGCGGGTGTGTGTGTGTGTGTGTGTGTATCCATTTGGGCGGGCCTGGGCAACTATATTTAGCCATATCACAGATGATGAGGGGGAGCGGGGCTAAACTATTTAGCGACTAAATTACTTTTTGCCAGCTCAGTGAGTTTCAATGCGGCCATTATGGAGCGTCTCATAAATATAGTTCGGTTCGTGTCCTTCAACGGTGAGTGGCCAACCTGTTCAGTTGTTCATCCGTTCATCCGTTCATCAGCTCATCTGTTCATCAGCTCTGCTGTTCATCTGCCCATCTGCTCATCCGCTCACCTGTCAGCTGCATGAGGATTGAGATAATGATGCGGAAGGGTCAGAGGCAATTACAAGGGGCGCCTCTGAGGCTCCAATGATGCGCAAACTATTTCAGCCGCTGCAATTATGCACAAACAACAACAGCCACAGAGCCATTGACTTGCCGCGGCCTGTTTGTGCAGCTCTCGTGGCGACGTGTCCGTTTTGAAATGCCCGACCCTTGCACTGCACTGAAAACAAACTGCACTTAAGTTCTATGGTTTTCGATTGATAATTAGCCTTGTCACTCTTGATTGCTCGACAGTTCTGGGACTCCGATTAAGAGTTGGCTTAGACTCCTTTTAAGCGATCCACTTCCCTGTAGTGAATCAATTAGCTGGGGAACCAGACTCTTGCCGCCCCTGCCCAGTCACCTAATGAGATTTTCCACCAAATGAGCTCACAGATTCCCGAAACAGAGCCCTCGCCCGCCATCCTCCTAGTTAATTGAATTTAGATGCGATTTATGTCTGGCAAATGCAATTTCGGGCATGGCGACTTTTTGAAAGGCAGCCACTCATCAGCGAGTCTCATTTATCATTATTAATCCAGAGTTTCCGCGACTTTCCAAGCCACCAGGAGAACATCCCAGCCCAGTGCCAAGGCACATGTAACTTAACTCATTAGCCCGGGCAAACATGGGGGGACTGAATCCCTTTTTCCAGGGTCGACGCTATCTGCCTTTTTCGGGGCAGATGGGTCAACATTTTGAAGCCTGACACCGCAAGGCAAACACATCCAAATTAATTAATTTCCATTTGAATTGCACAGCAAGCACGGGGGAAGGGTTGCCGAAATTAAAACGAAACCAAAAAACCGAAACAAGAAACCAGTGCAGGGCACGGAATCGGTAAAAAATGATATAAATAAATATAAACATGTTGGCAAGAGCAGTCATCGTAGTAGTAGCTGGCCAGCGTGGCAGTCTGGCAAACTGGCAGCCGGACAAAAGGACAATGAAGCGCTTTTAATTAATTTCTTTCGCGGCCAGCGCCAAGGTAAAGCCAAACAAAATGGTCGAGTGGGAGCGTGTTGGCGTGATTTATTTGCGGAGCATGGGTGTGGGTGGGGGGTGGAAAGGGGAAAGGGGAATGCGGGCGGAATCAAGTGAGTGCAAAAACTGCATGCAAATAGCCAAATTTGCCCGGGCGAGAGTGTTTAAGGTGCGATTCCCGCTGCCACGCCCACCGGGGCTTGACATTAATGGAGAGTGCGGATTGCGAAACCCACCCTCCCCCTTATCCCCTTGATTTCCCTTTGCTGTGGCGTGGGCGGGGCCTTCGTTAGTGGTCGCTTGGTCTGAAGGTTTGAAGGCTTTTCATGCCATCAGCAGTGTGGAAAACGTGGCAACGTGGCAACGGGGCGGATGGAAATTGCGTGCAGCTGAAGTAGATGGTGGGAGTGGTCAGCTGCCCTTTTTGGCCACTCTCCATTTTCCATTCTCCAGCATTATGCATACAGCGGCCAGTCCCTAGTCCCTAGTCCCTAAATCTTCTAGCCGAGTGCCCAAACATGAGCAGAGATGATCGGACACCAGGGATTTAGTAGCTTACCAGGCCAGCAGCTGAGTAAACTTAATGATAGTTGTCAAAATGTTCACTTTAAACTGACACTAGACCCTGGCCAAGGGCCGACTTAAAGCCTTCGAACGATAGCTGCGGGCCCTGCTGCTTAAATGCGATTTTATTGGATTTTATACTCAGTGCGGCCTGCAGCCTGGGGCGCGAACGGGGGCAGGAACATCAAAAACATTGCCACCGACGTAAATTAAGCATAATAAATAAATTACCATAATTATGAAATGTGAGTGTGTGTGTGTGTGTGTGGCAGCAGAAAAAGGCGACATCGAATAAATGGGCGAGAATTACATAAAATATCAACGCGGGCAAACACAGAGGGAAACCGAAAACAGAAAATACAAAAATTACAAAATACGGCAAAAAAGGTCAGACATCCAAAGAAAAACCAAATGAAATGGAACGAAAGCGGGAAAACAAAATGCAAATGAAAAACCAATACAATATTTGTCATTAACATACATCATGCATGGCAGTGTGTGTGTGTGTGTAATTTCGATTTATGTTGTGGCAACACACAGCAACTGCAGGCGACAGGCGACAGGCGAGGACTTGAACTCGAATCTGGTGGCAAGGAGTTAGGGCGAAATTTGCATGTCAGAATCAAATGCGACAGTTTTGACAGCTTGCCGGGCTCATTATTTGCATACAGATGATCGTAATGACGCCGGCGACGAGTGCCGGAATGATGATGGCTTGGGGACCTGGCCTTAAACCACATCCCAAACCCAGGAGCTGCGTCTGAAGGCTTCTGGCAGTGGTGAAGACCTTAAACTACTTCCAACTGCCATACATAATAGCAACTCTTAATCCTAATTTGTGATAAATGCAAATGTATGAATCTTCCTTCGAACCAAGTAATCCCATCTGAGGTTGAATAAAAGCTAACAGGATCATTATAATCCGATAATCTCGAGGAGAAGGAACATCAAAGCGGAGGTAATTCTATTACAAATCAATGGAAGCCGCTCTCTCACTTCGGTGTGCATATCCTGATTAATATTCTGGCTCTTTAAATTTGAAATAAAAGCTGCAATCGGATTTATTTAAGCTGCTCCGAATCCGAATACATTTTCCCCCGTGGCTGGTGGGCAAACAAACACAGAGCCAGCCACAGACAGAGACAGCTGTTGGCTGTTGGCTGTGATCTGATTTCATTTGCCCTGCCACATGTCGCTCTCAATGCATTTTGCTCGGGAAAAACCGGGGGGCCAATGCAATGTCAATATTTATGAACTATTATTGAACATTTGGCGAAGCTGATGCTGATGCTGATGCTGATGATGATGCTGCTGATGATGATGTAATAACAACTCCCAGGCGCTGAATGAGTTCAGGAGTTGAGATGTAGATGGAGCCTACATTAGCCAGCGACTGGCAAAAGAAGAATTTAATTAAAAAGTTAAAGGAAATGAAACGGAGGACAAAATGTTGACTATGGAATGCCAATTTATGACAGCGACGACAAGGATGCCATGGCTTCGATACACAGGATACACACACACACACATACACATGGGAAACTCAAAAAGGGGAAGTGGAAGTGGAAGTGGAAGAGGAAGAAGGGGAAGTCCCGCAAAATGCAAAAAGCGAAAATTAATGGAAAATTAATTAAGTGTCGTTTAATGTTGTCTCAATGTAAACGCTTTCAACGCAGCGCAAATTAAATTGTTGATGCCATATAGCAGGACCACTCAGCCGTCGCTCCCCTCCCCTCCCCTTCCCTCTCCACCCCCTGTTTGGTGGCTGCTTTTGATTTATTGGTTTTCTTTCTCCACTTTTTTTTTCGTTTTGTTGTTTTTTATGCCACCCAGTAATTTTTCCTCTTCTGCCTGCTGCATTCTGGAGGCTCAGTCGAGCGTTAGCCAGGGCCATAAAATTACATTTTCCCCATGCCCACCCTCCTGCCGCCTGGCCACCATTGACCACATGGCGTATGCGCAATCTCAACGAGGCAAGCAGGAGCAGCGGCCAAGCCAGCAAGCCTCCTCCATATGCAAAGTGCAATGGAAATTGAAATTTTTCATGCGCCTTCTCTTTGGCTTCTCCCCGGCAATTCAATCAAATGCAAAATGCAAAATGCAAAATGCAAAAAAAAGGAAGGGAAGGGAAAAAGGTGGAACTGTGCCACACACACACTTACCTTCTTGCAGTAATCAAGCAAATCCATTTTATCACGCAAACATGTGGCGCCGGTTGTCTTCTTGCTGAGGTCCGTTACCCAGCGGCCCTCCTCGGAAAGATACTGCGGCTGGTAGATTTGTCCGGCCTCGCAGAGTACGGCTATCTGGGGCTCCCATCGCGGCGATGCGGCCTGGAAATGAGATGGAAAGCGGAGATTGAGTTTCAGATTGATATTGAGATCAAGTGGAGGTTAGTTTTGCAGTTTTGGTGGTCGATTGAGTGACATTTGCCCGGGAGTAACAAGTTGTCATTGTCGGGAATGGAGAGAAAATCCTATTCCAGGAAATGCCAACAGTGCGTATGCGTAATGTATGATATGTGTGTGTGTGTGTGTGTGTGTGTGTGTGTGTGTGTGTGTGTGTATGCCTTGGTATTTGTGTGCCTCTATCTATGTACGAGTGTGAGAACGAGCACAAGGGTGAGGCATCAACAAAGCCAAAGACAAGACAGCAGCAAACAGCAGACAAAGAAATGCCAAGGCACATTAATCATACGCCACGTTGTACAGGCGGCACAACACCCACAATTCTAAGCCCAGCCTCCCCGTCCCCGCGTCCGTGACAAAGCGATAAAAAATGATGCCACATCGTACGATAGATACGTAGATACGAAGATACTGTACACTGGATGGGGCTGGATAGGAGCTGGCAGGCCCAGGAGCCAAACAACAATTAATGGCCGTCATTAGGGGGCGTGGTTGAGAAGGAGGGGCGTGGCAAGTGGTGAGGCCAGGCGATTGCTTAAATGCTTCATTACCACATGACAGGACCATCCATGTGGCCAACTGCAGGCGCAGGCCCGACGACGATGATGACGATGATGAATGCCCCGCCAAATTATGCATAACGCCATCGATTGATACATTGATTGATTGACAAAACTGCGAAAGGATGGAAAGCGCTATTCGGAATTCAGGCAAATATACTAATAAACTTGAAGGGAACTCCTTTAATTGCGAAAACAGAGAGAGAGAATCTGCAATCACATCACATACCGAGATACTTTTGTTATGGAAAATGGGAAGTAATCTCGATGTACTCGGAGGTACTGTGGAAATCATCAAAGGGATAATCACAGTCAGCCGGCGAATAGAGAGCGGGATTAATGGACAAAAGGAGCGGGATTCGGAGCAGAATTGGGAGACAATGCCGGCGCTGATTGCAATCAAAGCGAGTTGCATGCCGGCCCGAGATTTCCACTCTCCAATTATGACCGGCAACAATGGGAGTTTCCCTGATCTGTGCTTTTCCTTTCGGCTAGCTAAAATCCCGAGGCTTAAGTCCCCGGGTTTTGTTTCAATTTTTTCGCGCGCGCACAATCAAAGTGGAGCAGACTTACCCGACCGCTTTTCGCCCGCCACCCCCACTTTTCGGCCCTTTGTTCTCGGTGTGCGTTGGGTCTGGAATGCAAGCGATTCGCGGAATCCGGCGAATGCACTCATTGATTCGCCAACTCATTCAGGCACTTGCCTGGAAAATGATCCCTCAGAAGTCTGCCGAATCGGTTGGGAACTTCTTGATGGAGAATGTAATTCGAAATTGGGAATACAATTTTTAGTCTTAATGGTTTTAGCTCTTGAACTTAAACTGGGAGCCTGCTTTTCCTGATTTCGAAATGGGAAATTTGAATTTTAACACCCTCCAAATAGTATTTGCTCCTTGAAGTTAATACGATAAACTGCGTGGCCCACTTAAAATGAGTTTCAAGCTGAAATCCATTTGCCCCAGAGACTGCGAGGCAGAGAGAGAGAGGCTGAAATAACGAATGTTGCAAAGTGATTAAACGGAAACTTTCCCTATCGCCGGGCACTCAATGTAATGACGCCCTAATGCATTCATAAATACATAAGGCCGCTCCACAAAATAATTATCGATCGGAAGCCGTGGGAATAAAGCCAGCACACACACACACACGCAGACACGAATGGCCAAAGTGCATTGGATGGATACTGGCAAGTAACGGATACTTGTAAAACTTCATTAAAGCCGACTTCCGGTTGCCAAGGCAACAGCTGAAATATGCATTATGCCCACGGGCCACTTTCCCCACCCCGCCAGCCAGAGCCCCTCTGCTGAATTTTCTTCGCCCTTCGCCTGTCAGTCGAGCGTACTGATGTGATGCGATGCGATGCGATGTGTTTGTGTGCGCCCAACTATTTCGAAAGTAATTAAGTTGGCAAAAAGGCGCCAACGCAGCTCTGGCTCAGCTTTTGTTTGTCCTTTTGGGCGAGAACGGAGAAGCAAGGGGAGAAACATGGGGGGAAAACAAGAGGCAAAGAGGGAGAGTGTCCCAGTGACAGAGGAGGACCAGCAATTTTTCCAGGCAATCTAATAATTCAACCAAAAGCAACCATACCCGCACACACGCACACTCTCCGCTTGGCCAATGCCCTTATCCAGCAGTGTGTGTCTGAGTTTGTTTATGCAGATTTTGTTTGGCTTTTGCCCGAGTCGGGTTTGCACTTGTTGTTGCAGGGACAGGGCCATGGGGCAGGGGGCAGATGCGGCGGCAATAATAATGTCGCTAGCCATGGCAACGCAATATGCAAACAAAAACACACAAAGACAAATTTGTAACAACGATGGGGTTTCGGGACTGGAAAAGGTATCCCCCAGGAGTGGAGATACATTTTTATACGGACTGCTGCATGTCCTGCGACCATTATGCGGAATATCCTCTTTGGCTAAGCCAAAATAATGAGCATAGACGACAGGGGCAGTCATTAAACGCAGTTCAACCCACTTGATCCTGGCACAAAGAGCGGAAATTCGACATTTACAAGAAGTCAAGTGGGAGTTGAGCTAGAAAAGGGAACAAGCCGCCTAAAGGTTTCCAATTCTATAACTTCTATGCTGGTTTTCGGTTAAGACCTGTCTGCAGAAAGGTCATTTCCCCGCTTATCATTGTGGCCAGCTTCCACATCCTGCGCCAAATAGCCGAGTCCACTGCTGAAAATTGATGAAGCCGGACACCTGGTCCTGCTGTCGGTCCCTCTGCCATAATGATCGAAGAAAGTTATGCGGAGAAAGGGGCAAAATCAGAAGCCGCCAAAATGGCTGGCGACAAAGGGAAATTGCAGCCGCACCAGGGTGTTAATGAGGAGGTGTTGGGGGTGGCGGATGGTCGAGTGCAACAGCCAAAGCGCTGCTACTTGTGGCCACGCCCACCGACCGAATCCGCCCCAGCTTCCGTCTGTTGCTGTCGTTTCACTTCCTCTTTTCTCGCGCTCCGGTGAAAGGCAATCATGGTGGAAAATCCCCCCCTTTCATCTGCACTGTTTGCTGAACAAGCTGAAAGGGCGACAAATTGTAATCAAATGCACGCATGAATGTGTGTGTGTGTGTGTGTGTGTGTATGCGATGGCCCGCCCACTCCAAAAGGGGCGTGACCGTGTGTGTGTGTGACAGGTTTTTGCTTGTTGCTTGGCCAAAAGGCGGAAGGGCGGAAAAACACGGTTAATCGGGGGCAGAGGAGGATGAAAATAGTGGAAAGCCATTGATTAACTTGCTGGGCGGAGAGTCAAACGGTGGTACTTGGACCTTGCAGCTTGCAGCTTGCAGCTTGGAACTCATAAACTGGCCAAGTAGTTGGAATTTCGATTGGCACCGCAAAGTATGCAGCAGAAGCAGTGTGGCAGGAAATGAGGACACTGGGAAAGTCGGGAAAGTCAGTTCCAAAGTGAGTGAGACCCGGGAAGCCAGAGCCATATCAAACAGGGGAAACCTAAAGCAGGCCATGCTTATCCCCTTAACCGGATCTAGTCACCACTGAGTTATTTGGTCAGCAGGTGCCAGTTTTAGTTCCCCTGGCTATCCATTCGCATCGTAACTTCTCGGAAACAATAACTGATCTGAAAAATGGGAAAGCTAAAAGATTTAGTTAAAAAAATTTTCAAAAAGAAGTCTCTGGTAGAGAAAGAGGAAGAGCCCAAATGTGACGTGGCCAAATCCAGTGATTCGGAAGGCCAGGGTAAGCCGGACGATGATCAGGCTCTGAATCTGGAAGATGAAGCAGCGACCACTCTGCAGATGTACATCGAAAAGGTTAACGCGGAGCGAGCAAAGTTTTACTACATCAATCAGGATCCGAAGACAGCGGTTCCGATCTTGAGGGACGCTAACGGAGTTGCCACTAAGGACAATCCCAATTTTTGGCTAACTGTTTTCCATAATTCGTACTTTCATAAAATGATTGAGGAGAAGGATGAGCCGGCTTTGCGCTGTCTCACTGATATAACGGTTAAATACTACAAGGGTGGGGTAAGTTGACCGCTCTAGCATGTGCCACCCCCTCAGATCTGCTCAGAATTAACTCTCCTCGCAGAAATCCTTCGCTTTAAAGTTCTTTTTCGGCAAGAATGAGCTGTTCAAAAACAAGGTGCTTACCAAGAAGTACTATCTAAAGACCCCGATTGATAGACGCAATCGGCTCGCCCTTTGCGCACCGCGTGTACTTCGCTGCAAGGGATGCAGAATCCACTGGGAGGAAAACAAGGATACCACCATTGAGACCTTTAAGCAGAAGAGGAACCTCGGTGGCGGAGACGAAGACGCAGAAGAGTGCTACATTTTCAGATCAGTTACAGTGCCATCTTTCTTCAACTTCTTCAAGCCACCACTAATCGAGGCCAGCGATAGCATTGAAGAGGAGGATTTGGACGACGACGCAGAACTTCGCACGAAAATATACCATTTGCAGAAGCACTATGAGTTTGGCCACATGCTGCGCGTGAAGATCTTGCCGAAAGCCGGTCTCTACTTTACTGGCGAGATTTTTGAGAATTCACCGGATACAACCGAGAGCGAAGATGATGACTAGCTGCCAGTGGGCCATCAGATCTCTTTGTTTATTTTTTATCATTGTTAAGATCGGAATATATATTTTCGCTAGAGGCAGATCTACCTCGCCTGCCTTGCCTACTTCGCGCTGCCTACAATCATTTTATGGCAAAGACTAGATTTCCCATTTCTCTCGACTTTAAAGCGCGCCCACAAATGCCAAGGGGCGTGTCCTGGCCAAAAAGTAGAAAGTAGAAAGCTGAGAGCAAAGCGAACCCGCCAATAAGTACTTCGGGGCTACTTATAATGGCCAAGGAGGGAGCAGGGCCGACAGAAACACAATTATGTTAATGTTTACTCGACCGTAATTAACTCAAATTTATGATATTTTAATTTCGCCCGAGCGGGACACTCGAGAGCGGTTGGAAGTTGGGCAAGCGAAGGAAAATGCGTGGGTGGAGGGTGGTCGGGGTGGGCTGTGTAGCAGCGCAGGAGCGTTGGAAAGCGACGGCGAAACAAACAAAGGAAAATTGCGTTATAATAACACACGTAAAAAGTTCCCATTCCCATTCCTGTTATGCTTAATGCGAGTTGGAGACAAATAGAATTTTAATGCAAAGTAAAACGCAAAATGTTTTCCCCTTGTTTGTAGTCCTTTTTTCTACATTTTCCTTTTTCCGTTTTTCTTTTACTTTTTGCTTTTTGCTTTTTGCTTTTCCTGGTCCTTTGGCAGTTGGCAAGCGACAGGCGACAGGCGAAGGAATAACAAATGCGCTGACCTGATCGACGGGTAATTACAGTGCGGTCCGTGAGTGTCTGACCTTGGAAATAACTCAGGGAAGTTCTTAGGTAACCTCTAAGTAAATGGAAATGAAGTTCCGAACCAGACTTTCAGCATACATGCTGAGTTATCTGAAGACCTAATCCGATTGCCGTATGACCTGACAATTATGGACCGCACTGTCCCTGGCTGGGCGTCCGGGGCATTCAAATTATGCTGTGCATGTGAAATGTCCGGACCAACAGTCAAGCACAAAAAAGTGATCATGGGTGGAGTGGCAATGGGAGTTGGATGGGGCGAGAGGATGAGAGGATGAGAGGGTGAGTTGGTGGGCAACCCTCAGCGGTAGCTGTGGCAACCGAAGACGTAGCAAGTGCAGATGAAAAAGCAGCAGGGAAAACAAAAACAAATTGTGAAAAATAGCCACAAGCCAGGGCTCTTTGGGTGGGGAAGGGACCTAAGTAGCGTGTCGCTTGAAGTAAGTCAAAGTTGGAAAATGGAATCGCTTTTCTTCTCCTTCGCACCCGCGGCCATTTTCTCATCTCTTTCTTTTTTTCCTTTTTCGAATCCATTGGCAAACGCTAACACACACACACACGCACACACACACGCACACACACACTGACAGAGAGAGAGACAGGGCTATTATTTATGAGTTTTCTACGTTCGCTGCTGTCTTTTGTGCATTTTCGCTTTTTGCCATTTAACTTTTTTCCATGATTTTCCTCTTTTTTGTCCGCCTGGATGTGTGTTCGTGTGTGTGTGTGCTATGTGTGTGTGTTTTTCTCGCTTCTCGTTTGTTTGTGGCTCAATTTCGAGTGTCAAAAAGCCTTGTTGTTGCTGCTGTTTCGTTGATGATGACTCAGCACACAGAGGCGGGGGTGGGCTCTTTCAGGGGGCGCTGGATTTTCGTTTCTCGTTTGGCCTAGCCTGGCCTGGCCTGCTTTCTGCCCATTTTGTGTGTTGTGCTTTCCCTACTTTTCCGCTTGAAGCCCGAAACGTGCCTAAGTGAGTGTGTGTGCCCAGGCATATGTGTGCGTTTAATTCCTCACTCACTAACACAGGCACACAGCAATACAGGAACACACACACAGGCACAAGCACAAGCACAGTCACACTCAAATGCAGATCGAAAGAAGCAAAGACTGAAACTCGAAACTTTTTGGCCAAAACTTTTTGCAGCCAGTAAGACCCAAAAATCATTTCTTCATTTCATCTCCGTCTCTGTCACTCTGCGGCCCCCTCCCTCTTCCACTTGCAGGTAAATCGGATGCTTTGACAGCACTCACTCACCCACATTTACACACGGACACACACACACACACTCGCACACACTCGCACGCATGCAAATTGAAATTAATTTTGTGAAAAGTGCCTGCAAGTAGCAACACAATTTTTCCAAGACAACTTTCCCACACGCGCGTGTGTCTGTGTGTGTGGCTCTTTTTCACATCACTGCGACTGAGTGTGTGTGTGTGTGTATGAGTGTGTGCACTGTACTTTCTAATTGATGCTGCTGAAAGCACTTTTAATTACATTTGCGGGCGGCAGGATGCCCCCAGGATGCAGGCCAGGAGCGGGGAAGCCCCGACCTAAAACTCAACTCAACTCAACTGAACTCGAGTGTCAGCGAATGCTCATCGACACCATCGTCATCATCCTCATTGTGGGCCAAGTGGCTCTATGCGAGCCCATGCCCATGCCCATGCCCATTCCCAGAAATGTCGCATTCTGCAAGCAACTTTCCGCTTTTCTTCTCTTCAATCGAATTTGAATCAGCTTCAGGATCACCATCGGTCTGTGAAGGTAACATAACTCCAGGATATAGTAGTCGATGTCGGTATGAATTGGCCATATTAACTGGCAGCCTGGGCCTTGCTTCCAACATCCCTTAGCAATGGAACTTTCAGTTTTATTTTAGCACTTCTATCGGAAAATGCAGTTGGCCACTCCATCGCCCATCGCCCATCGCCCATCGCCCATCGCCCATCGCCTCCTCCTAATTGATTTGCCATAGCTATCTCCTGCAGGAGCTCTTCAATTATACAACTTTTGGCCCCCAAATGAAATTACTCAAGTTTGCTGCCTCACTGCCAAGCGATTCGCTTTGCGTTCTGCACTTTCCTCGCATAATGTTTGATTCCCTCCGACGCCTTCCCCTCCCGCTTCTCTATTCCGATTCCTCAATTCCTTCTCATACACCCAAAATAATTTGGGTCACTCCAGCCGCTTTGAATGTCTCTCTCTTGTGCGGTTCATTATTCGTCGATTTGCTGCAGGTCCTTCGGCCCCTGCCTACCACTCGGCTCATTCCACTTCATCTCATTTCATTTCGATTTTTTATTCAGCTAATTGAGTGCGAGCTGGAAAGTGGTCAGGGAACTGGTGTAGGAGTGCGTTTAATGGCCCAAGATGACAATTGAAAACTCATTTGTTATGGCCTGATGTAGTTAAGCGATGGCCTGCCTACCCCGCCGAAGGACACCATGAATCATGAGAGAACGAGCAGGGCAAGACAAAGAAGGTGGACTAAGATGGTATATTACACTCGTTGGCTAATGGACTGATGGCCATTTGCCGGAGGACTTCATTTGGTTACCAAATTAAATGGCTTTTCCGACAGCCAAATAATCGGTGGATAGCAAGTGCTTATTAGAGATATATATCATCGCACTATTCCACTATCATACATACTTTTTGGGTAATATTAGGGCTTAATTGGAAGAAATTGAATTAAAATGCAAAGCCCACTCGACCACTCGACCACTCGACCACCCTGCCGCAGTCGAGGCAATCGACAGAATAATCCACTAGTTCTGGCCCAACTTCCACCACAATTCTAGGTCAGAAAACCCCAAAAACCGAATGGGAAATGGGAAAACCATGCGCAACGAAGTTAACTGAAAAATTAACGCTGAATCAGCAAAGCAATCAACAAAAATTACGCAACATTAATGCGCTTACAAGCAGGGATCAGCTGGGCAGAACTAAGAAGAGTCGGGGATCCCACCACCGACTATATATGTGACTATATATATATATATATATGTATGTATGTATGAGTGTGTGCTGCAGCCATAATGAAAATGCTGGCTAACAACATTTTAATCCCGGCCACAAATTGCTGAGGCTTAAAGCGTTCGTTCGATAATAAATATGATTAATTTTACACAAAAAGCCACCGAAACCAGGCCGGAAAGTGCAGGAGTGAAAGAGAGGGATGCGAACAGATAGAGACAGACTAATAAGTACAGTTGGCCACAAAGCATATCGGGCTTTGGGCCGGAGGGGTAAAGTGTTTTGGCTAAAATGCAATAAAGCTGCCAAAACAAAAAACTAATCAACAAATTATGGCAGGCTGGCTGGCTGGCAGGCTGGCAGAGAAACAGCCAGAGACAGTTAGGGAAAGTTGATGAAAATTCAGCCAAAGAGAAGAAGAGAAAAGAAGAAGTCGGGCCAAGGCGAGAAAGATGGAGTGCTGCATTCTTTCGGGCGACCATTGCAATTCAATTAACTGTGAAAACTAATTAAGTGACTCCTGCCGAGAAGAGGCGGCTTCCGTCCTTTGCAGCCTATGCATCAGTGCACTGCACAAAATTCCTCACCTCGTAGTCAAGTGATTCGAAATATCGATTTCTCAATCTTGTTTCTCGCTCAAAACTGTTCAGTAGTTCTTCCATAAAAATGAAAGTAGTTGTTCGAATATGAAGTGTCATATATCGCCGAGTTCGTAATTAAATTTCTAACAAAATGGCTTTTACACCTAAAAAATATAATTTTTTGGCCATATATATCAAAAATAGACATGTTACCCCTTATCAGAAATGCGAAGTCAGCTTACTCCCATTTTTCTCCTCAAGATGACAGAATTGTTGCCATAACTCAGTCAATACTGATCCGAACATAGAATGTAATACCTCGTTGAGCTCGTAATTTGATTTCCATCAAAACTGTATCCCCACCTTGAAACGTAAAATTTTTCCCTTTTTTCGAAAATTTTGATGATGTTACCCCTTACAAAAAAACCAAAAATTTGTTAAAAATTTAAACTCACAAAATCGCTAAACCAATGATGAGGAAAGTTTGTTGGGGTCGTAAGCTGCTCAAAACTGTCTTTACATTAGCTCTGAGCCTTCAGTTGACTGAGTTGTAGGTATAAAACCGATCAAATCTATGATCATTTTCTGGCCAAACGAATAATCCTGATTTTGCCCCCAAAACAACATGAATTCTTCCTATAACAAAGCCAATAATTGTCGGAATGTAGAATGTGATATAGCGTTGAATTCGAAATTAAAATTCCAATCGAACTGTGTCCCCACCTTAAAAAGTCAAAATTTAGCCGTTTTCCGAAAATTTT